TCTTGATTTGGTATGTTTTTCATTTGATTATTCATCATGAAATGGATTATATAGCTATTTAGTTCAGAATTGAATTTTTATTAAAATTTAATTTTAAACCCTACGAGAATAACATGTATTGATAACATGTTTTTCCCGTGTACCTATACAGTTAGAATGTGTTATGATTGTTATAATACATAAACATCTTTACAAATCAAATAAGAAATATAATCTTTCTACAGATAGATCAGTTTATTAACTATTTTTTTTAGTACAAGGAAAATTCTTTTAGAACAATTCTTTACAATTTCGAGTATAGACTCAATCAAGCTCTGGTCAGAATCAACTTTTTGAATATGATTATTTGTTATTCCTCTTAAATTTAATACCACAACATAACCAATGACCAGTATGTTGTGCTTCAAATTTTAGCAGTGTTAGTAGGTAATTTTATTATTATCATTATCCAAGGTGTGCTACAGATTTTTGAAAAATAAGCATCACTTCAATTTAATATTGAAATTTATATAATGTAGGTAATCGTCAGTAACTACTATAGAATAATTCATGTCAATTTTTGGCTTCTGATGTAGATCCCGAGTGCTCTAGTAAGAGCTGACCAGAAGGTATCTGGMCCTATATTTTATATTAATAAACTTATAATTTGTATTTCTTAATATATTGTAATGTTGTTAAATATTCAACAGCAGCTGTCCTCCAACTCTTGTGGCCACATATTGAACAAATCCTTTATGCTATTACAGTAAAGTAATACATCCTGATCAGCCTGTGTACTAGAATGCATCAAATATCAATACAATTACAATACATTTGCTAAAACCTCTGCCATGACAAATAAAGTGAAGAAACCCCTAGAAATTGGCGGTAGCTCTAAAATGGGGGTAAATGAGAGTGCCTCTATAATTTCTCGTAAGATTTGTTATAAACTTAAACCATTCACTTACACCCTGGAGACCTATAAAATTGTTATTGTTATTATTCTAATAATATGAGCATTTCAGAGAGTGAATAGCCCCAAATGTTTGTTTGTTTGGCGCTGCCGCTGCGTCACATTCCTTTTAGATTTTGAAACTTTATAGCCAATAGCCAAATGACATTCAATAATCATCCAATAAACCTAATTAAAATTATATGGGTAGATTAAATATTATTTGAATTAATATCCGCGTGTCTCGACTGTCTTGTGCGCATGTTATTTTTTTTTTTACATCCTCTCGTTTCTGAGCCGTAATGCCGTATTATCCATAAAATATAAATGCATATGACTGGTTTAGTTATTATTATTTGCATAACACCCGTGCTATGTACTGACGTCCCGCTAAGACTACTAAATACGCATTTACACGTAGATGTACGTAAGTGTCCCTGGAGCAATGATCACATTGTGCCAAACCTCGATAGCCGGTGCGAGTAGAATATCAAAATAAGAGAAACTCATAGTCCGAAATTATCGTGTTGGTAGGAAATCATTTAGATACCTAATAAGTAATAAGGGATATTAATCTTGTTGAGATTACGTGTGTCGCGAATAACAGGATGTGAACCGAACGGCCGCACGAGCGTGGGATGCTATGGTATCCTAGTGATACGCACGTACGCATTTGCACGATTCGACCATGGACACATACTTATCTTATCGATTGGAGAGGAAACGCGGAGAATAGGACTATGTAGGAGAGCCCCGAATAGACCAAAAGGCAGACGTGAGCCACCAGAGTCAGTGCAAGCACCTTCACGCCAGTCACCATTCCAAATTAATCATTTGGACTTAGAATATTTTCAATTAAATCATTCTTGTATCAGTAATAGTGTTTTGTTCAAGTCGCAAGCAAATAAATATATAATAATTAATCAAAAGTCAAGTTGTTATACTTATTTCACCAAAACCATCTACTGATCTACCTCAACGCAAGTCGTTCGTCATCTAGTATGCTGGGACGCTACACCCGTATAACTGTACAGTTTACTACATATTTCCGGAACAGAATTTAAAAGTTAGCTGGACCAATAATATAGTACAAAACCGGTATAGTGTTCGGCGCACACGTCCGATCAAAATAAACACGTTCAAGTGTATCCCCCTGCAACCTTGACCTATAGAACCGGTGAAAGCCATTACACAACATCATACGATTAAGAACTCCACTCGCTACATACCATAATACATCCAACGAATGACACGTTAGGTACATCCAAAACTTGGTGCAACAGATATGACCTACCTATACTCCGGCCACTGAGAAACCGCTACTGGACTGCAGGGCTGCGACCAAATCTCGTCCGCTGTAACAGGCCGTCACCGTGTTTCAAGTGGTGTTATTTTGCACGGAAAACTGCTGTTAGCTGAAAGGGACAAAAATGGCTACGAAACCGTAGGGCGCAGAGCTCGTTCATTTGAAATTTGAATTTGAACACGCCCACGAGTAGTTCTCTCCCGATGGACTATACAACGACTGCGTACCTGAATAATATTATGATTATATAATCGTGAGCTGGTAGGTAGCATTCTTTGTAAGAAAGGCGGTGGTGATCCTCAAAACCATCGCTATTACAAATCATAGATCTAAAGGCTAAACAGTAAACACCTAGAGGAAAGATAAAAACATTTAAATAAAATAAGCATTAATACGAAAATGCATGAGAATATGCATAATAMATTATACAAAAACAAATTTTGGCCGAATTCATTTTTTTTATACGGTGCAGCAACAAAAATATACAAATTTATTGAATTCATTGTTCTGTTAATGACGATTATGATTATCAACTGTGAATTATGATGATTGATACCGTATATTTATGAAATTATATATACATGTTTTCGCAATGTTCAATTCATATTTTATTTTCTTACAACTGATAATAATAAAAAAAAATTCAAATTTTAATTTCATAGATGCACATTATCACAAGTAAAACTATTGTAAGACAAAAAACAACAACAGAATKCAAGATTGTCCTTGTAAAGAMTTAAATATTCGTATTAGGAAAATCATTTTAATATAATTAATTAATTAATAAAAAAATACATAATTAATTCTGATTAATACCTAATGTAACTACAGTATGAAAAAATATTTATCCAGCATGTTCGTAAAAAAATCTCTTCTTTCAAATCCTAAATCTGTGTTTGATATTCTTAATGCATTAAATGTATAAAATTTACTACAACTAGATGAACATTTTTTATTTAATAATGACAAATTATCTAACATGGTAAAATTAGGTACTTTTCGGTTATCGTACCCCAACGGTCGGCCGGCCGACTGTGGCGGCGGTCGGGATATAGGTACCGATTCCGCTATCGTACCCCATTATATTTATCTCAATGCTTCCATCATAATATTTTTTATTTATAATAATTTTTTTGGCATTCATATTGTATTGGTATTAATACTTTATTATAATTTTTTTTGTATTGATGTTTTATTATACTTTATTGGTATTCATATTTTATTATAATTTCTTTGTACTCATAATATAATTTCATATTATATTATTTTATTAAAATAAATTATATTTTTGGCAATTATTTATTTATTTGTATGGCAATGAAACTTGACAATATTGAGATCAATATAATGGGGTACGATAGAGGTGGGTTACCCTGGCACCCCAGTGTTCGAATTTTTTATTATTTTTTTTACCATYAATTGTACTATAATTTGTACCGATTTGTACCATAAGTTTCAGAATTTGTACCTAAGTATTTCCCCTGGGAAAATCGATTTTCCGCCGGAGCGCCAAACGTTACACCAGCACCCCCGTTGCTAATTTGACTAATAAAAATGTTTGCTTACTTATACAGCTGAATTTGCGCCTTTTATCTGTCGGGTTGAGTATTTAAATGCAGGGTACTATATCATGAGCAATATTTGTATTTTGTACCTAATTTTTCCTAGTACAATCCAGAAGACAGAATAAGTTTGTAAATTGTAACAATTTTTTTAAATATTAATTGTACTATAATTTTTAATGATATGTACCACTAACTTAGGAATTTGTATAAAGTTCTGCTCTGATCGTTCTTAAATATATATAGGTAACTATAACAAAACCACAAAATGTATTATAGTATAATTATTAATTATCATTTTATAACAGTCATTCAAAAGTGTCAAATAAAAATAAAGACGAGCACATTGGAATGGGACAAGCTTTACTGTACACAGTAATATTTTTTAGCACAATGAATTCATATTTATAATATTGTCTTCACATGCTCAAACCTTAATAATAAATACACCTCCATTGACATTACAATTTAGAACTAAACTGGCAACTGCTTAAATGCAAAACAGTATTGAAACCGTTATAGACCAATGGACTTCAATTTTGGGGCAAATGCGAAAAAGATAAATTTTATAAAAATACAAATTTTGGCTCTTACAAAACTAATGAATACTATACCTTACGTTACAAATCATACACTATATACCAAATTAAATCTTAAATTAATAACCGATGAAGCAAAAATCTTTAATAAAAGATTCTATAGCTGTTTAAATTATCATACATATCTACTAATAAAAAATTGGGCTACTCTCACAACACCTAACAATCATCTGAAATATGATACACCCCTGAAGCATAAGTGGTGTCACAATCTATATAACTAAATCAATTAACAAACTAACATTAAGTACCATAAATGGTTGGCTTCTTTCAATAAGTCTCGTGACGAGATAATTGTAATTTTTATCGTGTGTATTGATACAGATTGTTAATTACTTAATAAAATAAATATAAAGATTTATAATATAGTTTATTGATTGTGAATATAATTAACAATTCACCAAAAAATATTTACTGTCGGATGAAATAAAAAATTTGAAAGCTGCTGAAAACAAAAAAACTCAAATTACAATAAATAAATTATAAAACATTTTAGTAAAATGGTGAATTCTTAAAAATAAAATATACCAAAAAATTAAAAAAATGGAAAATAATTTTTATAATAAAAAAAAATCAATCATGACAAATAATAATATCTATATAAATAAAAAATGTTTGGTTTTTCTCTTTTAGACTTAAATGTTAGTTAATATATTTTGTACTAAGTATAAAGATTTGATAAATTCAATTAGGAATATTTGTTCATTTATAAGAATAAAAAACTAATTGCTTTCGTCATTAGGACAATATCTAAGTCGAGCTTCAAAAAATTGAATAGCTAATTGAGGACATCTTTTGTAAATTACAGTTGATTCAAGCAGATCAGCAACATTTGAATCTTTCCATGCAATCAAAAACATTAGTTTTCCATTTTCTTCAGTAGCACCAACAATATGATCGGGTTCAAGTCCACGATCAAACCCAACTTTAGTGTCACTTCTAACCGGAATTTCTGTATCATTATCATCATAATAATATGTATCGTTGCCCAAATCAATCGTTTCATGCTTAATTTCTTGCTTTATTTCATCACTGAAAAAATCATTTTTTTAATTATTACTATCACTTGATCTCCAATAATGTTTATAAATTTTATTTTGTACAATTTAATTTTTTATTATAACTTATATGATTCATTCCTGATAACTTATATGTTTTTACTTATTATACCAGTTTTACACACTTAGGTAATAGTAAGCAAAACAAAACAAAACAAAGCGAAAACTCAAATTTTCTTCAACATGTGGGACTAGCTAAATTGTTTTTAAAAACACAAACATGGTTGTGTTTTAATTTGATTTTTTTTTAAGCGGATGATTTAAGAGTATTGTTTTTATACAATTAATATTAATTATCAACCAATATTAAAGGTACATTTAAATGAGTTCTGACTAAAATAACTTGATATAAAATGCTCACAGGCCTAAAAAGTAATTAAAGAAAAAGAATGCCATAACTTGAGGTACTGGATCACAAACAATATTTAGTTATTTATAATATAAATATTATATGAATACAGATAAAATGTTAAAATAAAATATACCATTATCAATGTTGTAAATATAAAATTGTATAATAATAGCTGTTTATCAGAAATAAAAATAATTTTTTTTTTATCCACAGAGTTTAGTTTTTTCCTAAGACCAAATATAAATGTACATGATTAGTGAGTCTATTTGCATCAGCTAGGTATATGAAAATGACAACGTTTTAATAATTAGGTTGTAGGTAGCATATAAACTTACTCTCCTTTGACTCCTTTACACATTTTGAAGATCCACAATGCATTGTCATTTCACAACGATTTTCCATGCCTCATTAAGTACCATCAATTACTTATCAAAAGAGTATATTACTACATTTATATGATATGTAAAATGTCTAATGCCAATACAGACCACACCTTTTTATTCGACCACTTATAATTTCATTCACAGTTCACTTTTATTGTTATGACATACTTTAATTTTAATTTTAATTTCTATGTTTATTTATGCCTTCAGTTTCTTTTGTAATTAAAATGTATATACTTGTTACTTTAACTCATTCATTGTAGGCAGTGTTGGGTAGTAACGTAACAAAAGTAATGCGTTACATAATTTCATTAGAATTATTTCAAAGTAACAAAAATGTAATGGAAATTACTTTTGATAAGTAATTTCAATTGAATAATGCGTTACAGTTTTGAATTATTAAGTACCTACCTTTTGCGAATTGAAAAAAAAATATGTCYATAATGCGGATATTATTATGTTTACCAATCTAGTATAGTAATAATATACTATGTATATTTATTAAAGCTCCTTATACACCTGATCTCACAATTTTGAATTCAATGACATTAGTAAAGAATATTTTTATTAAATACAACACAGCTTTACCATACAATGCTTCTGTAGAGCGATTATTTAATGTTTCAGGGGAAATTTGTTCTAAAAAAAGRTCACGTATGATTGACAAAAATTTTGAAGATACACTATTGTGTTAAGTTAATTTAAAACATAAATAAATATAAAATAATAATATTGTATTATATTGATTTCTTTTTCAAATTATATCTATTTACTATAGGTAATGCATTTCTAGTAACATTATTGCCAGGCACAATGATAATGTTGTTAAAATATATTTAAAAATATTTAATTTTTTTTTGTAACAAGAAAGTAATGAGTTACTTTTCAATTTGAAAAGTAAAGTAATTTCATTACAATTTTATTAGAGTAACGAATAAAGTAACTTTATTACTTTTTAAAAGTAATTTACCCAACACTGATTGTAGGCCTGCTAGACACAGACACTAGTTAATAGTAGCTTTAAAAAAAGAAATCAGCTGGTATATTTATAGTAAAATAATATTATTAATTATTGTAATATTCAAAATCTTTTCAAAACTACATTATTGACAATTGTGATTATATTATATAATACTGGCTATCCCACTAGTGCCAAGGCCAAATTTTATTTTTCCAGTTCAGCTAGTATATTATGCAAGGCTCCGAACTTACAGCACTTGTAGTCATTAAAATTATAATTTTTAAAAACATCATTACAAACACTCAAATTAACATTTAAAAATCTTAAATTCAATCAAAAAATACAAATAAAATAAAAGACCTAAAATAGGAAAAGTTTCTACATTTTCTTTTAATGTGAATATGACAAGTACTAGACATATTTTGATAAACATGAACCCAATTATATTAATTTTTTTCTTTGAAATTCAGTTCTATTTTGACTGGTGGAATATTTTTTTACTCTGTAATTCATGCCATAGGAGACAACAAACTATGCAACAAAGTGTATAAGATAACAGACAAACTATAGTACAAGTAGGTAAGATAGTAGAATTATTTTTAATTTTAATTTTATCAAACACAAATTTTGATATGTCAACATTCATAGAGATACACAAAAATAATCAAATTGGAAATAAGCTTTTATTTTAAAAATCATTGAAAAAAGTACTTTCAAATGTCATAGTTGAATGCATTGTAATGACATATACTTCCATACCACTTTGCTACATTTCATGTCAAACCATAAAAATAAACAAATGCTATAAGTCCCTAACCTCAATAATATGTTACCAATGACGGTCTAGGACATTTCGGCGTGGCTATCTTGGCGTGGCCGTTTCGGCGTAGGGTCGTTTCGGCGTCCATGGCCGATACATTTTAAGTAATTAGGTAGGTCACTATAAAATATAAATATATAAATAATTTTAAATAAGGAGAATGCTATAAAAATTATATTAATTATATTATTATTTTTGTATAAAAACTGTATATAATAATTAGGTATATTTAAGAGAATGCTATAAAAATTATGAATAAAAATATTCTGGTCATCATACTTAAATTATGTGCTATTCCTCTTAAAAAACACATAATATTACGATTATCATAATCGCTGATTAATTTTAAAATACATTTATCAACGTCGATGAATTATTTTTTTTTTATAGACTTTTGCCTGTTTCTATCTGCAAAAGAAGGTGTTTCGACCACTTTGTATTCTCCTTATTACAAACTTACTAAAATTTTGATTGCTTGTGCCATGGTGACTTCTAACTACTGACTGCTTGACTATCTTATATTACTCAATTATCGTCTATCGATACATCGTATAGGTTAACTACCTATATCTTTATTACTTATACCGTAATATAGATTATGATGTGTGACAGCATAATATATTATTATTATTATTATTATATACAGTTCATACGGTACCGACGAAAGTGAAATAAATGCTAACATTATATTATCTAAACGCGATTAAAATAATTTTATGAAAAAAATAATTATACGCCGAAACGGCCACGCCGAGATGGCCACGCCGAAATGTCCGGATCCGTACCAATGACAACCACATAGACTAAAAAATTATTGATTTTAATAAACAAAACTAAATTCATTTGAAAAGTCATGCTTTAGTCCTCCTGCCTAGGTTTAATTATTTACCTTTGTATATTTTTAAATAGATAAAAATATTGAAAAATTAACGATTCGTCTATTCGCCATACAGGGAAAATCAATGATAAAAAAAGTAGATGTCGCTCTGCTTTACAGTGGGTTACTGTAATTGAAATAAATTTGAATCCAATAATATTATATAATTGTATACGAAAAAGGATTCTGAGTGGAAACGGTTTATTTGTCTAAGATGTATTATAGACAATTATTAATACTTATTAAAACATTTGACTTACTGGTGGACATTTAATTTGTGATAAAGGTTGACAAACTTGAAAGGAATCAAGTATAAAATTTTCAAATCTTAGATTTAAAAAGAAAAGTTTTTATGAGTTTCTAGCTTAAAATGATTTGTGAATTTTTGTGATTTTTACGTGTATTTTGTCAAAATTCAAACTTTGAATGCTTATAAAAAAAATTTTAACTATGAATTAATTTTATTTTTCAACTGCTATTGTAACAATATATTAAGAGCTTGTCAGGGGCCTTGTATTACATTTTCAAGCTTTTCTACCCAACAAATAATTTTTATCGATATTAATTTTAAAAAAAAACGGATAATAATCAAAAATTGCATATGCCTATAAATAGTTCAACTTAAGTAGAAATTTTTTTGAAAATTGTAAAATGGATAGAAAATACTTATATTAACATTCGATAAAAATTCAAAATCAAAAACCAAAATCGATTTTTTCGAAATTTTACCGTTTTTTCCTTAATTTTTTGTTTGTTTATCCCGATTATTAAGAAAAATATTTGGAAATTGTTTACCTTTGATCCCCCAAAGTACCAACTATAGTCACTTTCAGATCGAACATTCGAACGTGGTACTGAAGTCGGAAATCGTGACATTTATTTTATATATATATATTTATATATATTATATATTTATATATTATATTATATATTTATATTAAAGGAGCACACAACACAAAAAAAAAAATTTAAATTATTTTTATATGTTAAATTATTGTAGATATGGCTATAWGAAATGACTWAGTGAAAATCTGATGCAAAAAAAATTATTATAAGATATTATAAAATGTCAAATAGCTGCGTGACGTCATTGGACCCTACTCTTCGTAATCGCCTATCTTATACGTGTAAAAGTTCCTCAGTTCTCACAACGATTTACCCACCTAAACATTTTATTTTTGAAAGTTAATTTACGTATAAATGTGTGGTTTTGTGAGTTTAAGACGACGCAAGAATCAGAATTTTTATATGACGTTTAGTTTTTTAAATATTTAAAATCTTAAAAGTGATATTTTTGCTAAACGGCGCTCCATGGCGATTTAAATACGAAATAAAAATTCCAAAATTTCTCTTTTAAGATTTTAAATATTTAAAAAACTAAACGTCATATAAAAATTCTGATTCTTGCGTCCTCTTAAACACACAAAACCACACGTTTATACGTAAATTAAATTTCAAAAATAAAATGTTTAGGTRGGTAARTCGTTGTGAGAASYGAGGAACTTTTACACGTATAAGATAGGCGATTACGAAGAGTAAGGCCCAATGACGTCATGCGTTTTTTTTCAATTGCTCATAACTTATTGAATAATGTGAGTAGAAACGTAAAACTTATAACATTATCCTTATAATTGAACATTCTTTCAAATAAAAAAAACTTAATTTTTGTGTTGTGTGCTCCTTTAAGATGCGAGCCAAAATTTGTCATTACTTATTATTATTTTTATCATTATTATTATTATTATTACCTATTGTCATTACTGTTAGTGACTTCATTACTATTGGCCTTCGAAAACCCCGGCTTGACCTTTGACACCGATGCGATGTTTTTGTTTAAAGGCAACGATGATTGGCTGGCCGGGAGGTCAGTGTCATTCACTTGTGGCGGTGCGGGTATGGGGTATTCCACTGGCGGAGATTCGGGGGTAGCGTCTTTCTTGGGCGGAGATACGGATATGGCGTATTCCTTTGGCGGAGATACGGATATGGCGTCTTCCTTTGGCGGAGATTCGGGTGTGGCGTTTTTCTTTGGCGGAGATTCGGGTGTGGCGTTTTTCTTTGGGGGAAATTCGGGGGTGGGGTTTTCCTTTGGCGGAGATACGGGGGTGGGATCTTCCTTTGGCGGAGAGTTGGCTTCGGCGTCAATGCCTGGCAGAGATGCGAGGCAAGCGACGTCCTTTTGCGGCGGTGCTGAACTAGCGGCGTCAACGTCCTTTGACGACATTTCGGTTTCGTCACACGGCGGTGATAAGGAGGAGGCTACGCAGTCCTTGGGCGGCTGTTCTGCAGGGCAGTCTTCGGGACGGTTCGCAGGGATAGAGATCTGCTGTTCATCCGACATGGCGGTGTGTTCGTAGACGGTCTTAGTAATAGTGATGAGGTGCACGTGTTTCTCACGTTTTTTTTTTCGCGAGAGGCGAGGACAGTCGTCAGAATGATCAATGAACTGTGAACAGTTAACGATAATAATAATTATTATTTTTAATATTATAATTACAATAAAYACAATATTAATGTAGTCATCATTCACTATTACCTATTAGTACCGTGTACGGCGTGCACTGTGCGAAGTCGGCCGATGCGAACGAGAGCCAGTGAACAACGATTAACGAACGGCGCGTGCGATGGAAATGTCGCCGGGTCGCAGGTAGCGGCAAATGTTGTAGTGCAGCTCGCCGACCGCAGCTGGAAACACGATGGTCGGCGACGGGAAGAGGAAAGGAAAAAGAACGATAAAGATAAAAGAATAGCGTCGWGTACGTTAGGACATTAGGTTTATTATACACATCACACGGTCACACACAGATAATGGGTAGTACCTATACATAATCTGCGGATAACGCGGGCAAACGAACGATGGGAATCTCCTTTTCTTCATTTATATATAATCAGTGTGTGTGTGCACTCGCACATTATTTTTGTTCGGCGAGACAACGATACTCGCCGCCGAACGAATTGTTTGACGGCGGGTCGTGGGTGGGGTTACCGAAATCGGTTTACAGCCATTTTTCGTCGACGAAAATATGTGCACTGCTGCCGTGTGCGACGCAGCTGCTGTTACCTGTTGGCTGTGTCTTTGTGTGTCTGTTTTCCTTGTGCCGCCGGGTGGTAATGACGTATAGAATTACGTATAGGGTCAGTATAGACGGTATAATATGAGGAAACGAAGTAAAAATGAGAACAGCAGTTGGTGTATACCAATAGTTCACGACGCGGAGAAGATAATAATAATA